CACCATTCACTCACGCAGGGCTCACCACCACCATTCACTCACGCAGGGCTCACCACCACCATTCACTCACACATGCACACCTATGGGCAACTTTGGCCATTTAGACAACGTCGAAAAAACAAATCAATTCAGACATGAAATCCCTCCTAAGCCAAATCCTTCAGAACAGAAACTCGGTCCAGCTTCTTGGGGAATCCAGTACTGTCATGTTAGACGCCGTGTTGATTTAGTGTAGGCGTCCTTTTATTGGGTTCCACTACGCCGTTACACGGTTCGGTTACTGTTAGACGCGGGGAGCTCCAGACGAATGACCCGCGCTGCTGCTTTTAGACAGCCCCCCCTCATTTTACAGCTTTCTCCTTTGCTCTGCTTTGCACTGCTGTGGCTGGACTTACTCAGCGTCAATTTGTGCTATTTGCTCAAACTGCAGCATTAGAGAGTCCCTGGCAGCCTGAGAGATGCTAGAGGAGGCTGCTATGACCCCTTTCAGCCACGTCGGCCATCTTTCCCACCATCGAGAAACGGTGAAACATCCAAAGCTGGGTGTGTTGCGTAAGACTGGCTTGTTTATCCATTCCGTTCATACGGCAAATGGCCGTGTATGTTCCTGCCCGTTCCCTTTGTTAGACATAAACAATCGTTAATGGAGACCCCACGCACGAGTAGGCTTTACGTTTAATTGCAACAAACCTGAATGTGTGGTGTAGTGAGAACGACACACACGTAAACACAGCAACACAAACCGCATGGGGAATCTCTGCAGCAAACCTCATAATAAATGACAATGTTTACTGAATTTTTAAATTGTATCTCTACACATAAATTTTGGAGTAATGGAAGGATATATACTTGTTAAATTTTTGTACCAACACCAGACATCCTGCCTTCCCAGTACAAGAAATCCACCCATCTTCCTAACCCTGATTTCAGGAGCGGGGGGTTTGGACCCAATCCCAGGCAGCACAGGACACAAGGTCGGGGAGAACCCTGGATGGGAGGCCAGACAATACAGGCCAAACACTCACACTATGGACAATACAGAGACACCAAGCCACCTAACCGCAGGAGAAAATGCACACAACAGGGGGGGGACAGGCAGATTTCACACACACCACATGGGACCAGGATTTGAACTGCCAACAGTAGACATGTAAGGCATTGGCGCGGCACGCTGAGCCACCGTGCCACAAGAGAACGTCTGATATTTTTCTTGAGTAGGGGGGCTGTTCTGTTGGTGTGGTTAAATTTTGGAGCACATTTGGAAGCCACAGATGAATAACTGCACTTAGGGAACTAGTTTCCCGGGAAACATCAGTTTATTATGCGTGATGGATTGGGCTTCATGAGGATGAATGTCGGTGTCCCTGGATCTCTTGGGCACTCAGAGAATTTTCCTTCTAGACATCTGCAAGCTGGTGCAGGGAGAACTGGCCTGTACAATACATACCTCTGGTTCAACTCAAGATGGGGAAGAAAGCGATGGCTGTTGGACCATTGAGGCACTTAGTGTCAATTTCAGCAGTTCATCTCCAGCTGTTAGCATTGAAATATGGGTCTGGACAAACATCTCATACATACCACATGGAAAGAACTAGCATACACAATGAAAGGCTTTCAGCCAAACCAGACTGCAGCTGACTGGGAGAGGTAGCTGATTGGCGTACCTGGCCCACTGGTGTGGTTGAAGTCTCCTTTAATGACCTTGCAGGATTTCCCGTTTCCATTACAAACTCCGCAGTGGTCTTCCCTTACCGGGGATCCCAGGATGTCATCACAACCCACCTTCTGGAGAGGTCAACAAGAAAAGGCAAAGTAAGCAATAATTCATCCCTCAGACAACCCCAGGCCAGATATACGGCAGATATATGGAGGTGAGGTGTGTGTGACTTCTGCAAATTGTTCAGTTCGACTTCTCATGCTGGGGGCAAAAACCAGTTAGCTGGATGACATAAATCAGGCATGAATTTCAGCAGCTAGGATACACTGGTTTTCATCACCGCTCAGCTATGAATTTGTTTAACTTTCAAAATGGTTACATGATTATTAAAATAGCTACAGTGGTGCATATACATACAATTACACAAGCTGTTTAATAACCATAGGAAACACAATGTTACATTTATTTATGAGACATACAACTGAGAAGACAGTGTCAACAAGTCCTTGAAACAACTGTGACTAAGGGCCTTGCTTAAAGGCCCAAAGGCAAAATCACCCTGCCGACCCCGTGAACTCTGAATCACAAGCACAATGTTCGAACCCAAAGAGTCACACAGCACCCCCAAGTTATTTCAGGAATGCTGAAATCCTAAAACTGTACATCATCTGAGCGACTTTTCGGTATTAGAAAACTGAAGGATGACCTGATCTGTTTGGCACTAAAGTAAGGGGAGATTATGCCCGTCACCTGCAAGAAGTGCAATGTCGGGACAGACAGCGTTACTCGTTGTTTAACCTGCCACTTTGCCCTAACGACGAGCAACGGGAAATCATATTTCTGTATGCAAAGCTAATCGCCTGTGTGTTTGTTTTTTTTTTTTTCCGTTGTGTGTTTTCTTCTCCTTCTGGGAAATTGCTCCTTTTGAAAAGCGTCTTGCAAATACAGCACGTATCTCCATCCTTCTGGGACCCATAAAAATGATGCAAGGTAGTTTGGGATTTCAGAGGTTCATGTTGGACGCATAATTTACAGGCAAATGGCAGAGTCTGCTTACACAGATGAACGCCTCAAAGGACTTCTTTTATTTTAAGAATAAATGGCGGCGGCCTTTGTAATCTAAACCTCAGCTTCAATCAGACAGCACTGGGCAATGTGGGCTTTTTGAAACTGAACAATCAACTATAACACAGATTTATTTGATAAGTGAATTAATTCCCATCCACATTTCACGTTAGCATACATTATACATCATTGCTGAATTATAGGTATAGTTTGGATGTTGAGTACTTTTCTATGACATTAAATTAAACTGCCATGGTCTTTGACAATACTGGGTTTTTTTAATAAGTTCAAAAATCAGTATCCATATAACAAATGTTGAGGTAGTCTAATACTAACATTTGCTTACATGTCTGACTTACAGATAACTGTCATTTTATCTATAACATTGTACTCTAGTTAAATTAGCACAGATTGAGGTTTATACCCATCAGGCTGGTGATATTTCCTGAAAAGGCATCATGACATAATCAAATCCAAGATACCACAACAACGTCTACTGATGACGTAATCAAGCACAAGGTGTTAAGCACATCTAGTGATGTCATATGCAATACCAGAATGTCACATCAAATTCTGCTGATGTCATAATCAAGCCCAAGGAGCTACCACAAAATTTGCTGATGTTATACTAAAGCCTACTAAACTTCAGGGACACACCTGACATGTTCCATTGGCACAAATGCCAGTTTCCTGTGGGCCACAGTAGGTTCCATCCAGGACCTTCTCTGTTACCAGGACAGGTTGCTCCTTCCCAGATGTCGAGCAGAAGAGGGCACATGGCTTCTCTAGGGGAGAAGGAAGATGTAAAGTCATTCATCTCTCAGCACACCTTAGTCTTCCATGGCGTGTAACAGCATTTAGCTTCTGGCAAATGTATAATACAAAAATGCTAAATGTCATGCCCTGCTTACCTGCCCCTCCCCTTTCTCCCTAGCAGGGCTCTAACGGGCCACACCTGTTCTGTGTTTGTCTCTCCTTTTGTTCACTCCAGCTGCCTCCTGTTTATCTCCTCGTTTACCCAGTATATAAGTACCTGCCAGTCTTGTCTTCCCCAGTTCTGTCATTGATGTCACTCCCTGCTATGTCTATGTTCAGACCTGTTCGTCAGTGTCAGTCATCCTGCGTGATCCCTTTTGTTTCTGTTTGATTTAGTCCTTATGTTTCAACCTTAATCCTGCTTCTGCATCCTCCGTCCTCCCTGCCCACTAAATGTGTATGAAAATATGAAAAGTTTTCAGGGTCACTGAGACAAAATACTGGGTGGCTGCAGCCCTTGAAAAATAGGGTCTATAGTCGCCTATGGTTCTAACTTAGGGGCAGGCAAGCCTGATCCTGGAGTTCTGGTCTCCAGCAGGTTTTCCATCCTACCTGACGAGTTCCTATCTGCCTAAGATCAGGTGTGGTTCATCAGAGACCAGGTAGGATGGAAAAGCTGCTGGATACCGGCATTCCAGGATCAAGGTTGCCTGCCCCTGTTTTACCGTATTAACCAGCATCACCAATCATCAAAAGACTGATGACACATTTTACACATTCCACACCCTGCATCTAGAGGATGTGATTGGTTCAATTCCACATCTGTCAAAGAACTCAAGAAATGACATCATTCTATGGGGAGTTCTGATATAAAACAGCTTCAGGGATCCTATCCGAATAGTTTTTTTGTCTGCGCGCAAGGAGAGTTCATGTATAATCAGGACACTTTTCAATACTTATCTTTTCTGTTATGTGTGGCAAAATGGGGTAACATTTTTGTTAAATTAAGACACAATCACACGGCTTGTAGTGAAAGTTTCACCCACGCAAAGAATGGAAGAGAAAGCTAAGTAAGCTTCTGTAACGGCATAATAAAACACAAAATAGAGCCGAAACTTTTATAACACTACGATGACATTACCAGAAACACCACTGATTTCTTTAGTCCAAAACAGGTTCATTTATCACTTTCCTGAACAACAAGCTAGCTTTCATCTGACATAAAGCATGCAGAAAGCAGCTGAAAAAAAAAAGAAAAATACAGCTAAAAGAAACAGAATTTAATGCCAAATACTTGCTAAGTCACAGCAGTGTGATTCAACTCAGCCAACTAAACTATGAAACATAATCACATGAAATGTCACAGGAACAGACAGGTCTCATTAAAAACAAAATGGATACAGACAGTCTGTATTGCTGAGTTTGGGAGCATATGGGTAATTTTGTGGAAAGATATATCTTCTGTAGCAGCGAGAGGGCCACCCTGATCTGGGCTGACTTGGACGACCCTGTGACCCTCTAAATCTGCAACTTAAGAATGTTTTTGCGTCTTGTTGCCTGGGGTTCATGCCAGACAGGTGAAAGGGTAAAGGTCAGATATAGAAGGACTTCCTATGGCTGAGGGGTGAGGGGGCCAGAGTATTCAGGTTGGGGGGGGTGGGGTTTAGGTGGGGACAGGGCTGTAGCCAGGATTTTTTAAATACCAAGGTTATAGTCTAAGCCCATCCTAGGTGTGCCCCATACACTGTCAGAGTACCGATTTGTACCCTTCCTTGTCACTGGGGCTGTACCCTAATGGTCTGCCAATTGTACCTTAGCTGTAGGTAAATGTACCTATTAATCAAATTTAAGGTAAAGAATGGAACACCCCCAAGGTACAAACAACATTAATGTGCCCCCAATAGTACAAAAAATATCCTCATAATTCATTTCTGTACCTTAAAAGTTACAATCACCTAGAGCTAGGGTACAATTGGCAGACCCTTGAGGGTATAGCCCCAATGACAAGCAAAGGTACAAATGGGTACTCGTTTCTGACAGTGTCAGGACGCCAATCCATAGAAAAGCCTTATAAAGGAGGTGCTCCAGGACTGGGATCTCAAAAAGCAGAAGTAGCAGATACACAGGTGAAAAAGGCACAATGTTAAAAAGTCAGACCTCTGAGACATAATGCGACAGAGGTCGTCTGGCGAAGCTACCAGCAGCAGACACATGCATGATGCAGTGCTACCAACATTAGCAGACTTGGCCGAAGCAGGACTACATTAACAGCAAACCAGTCAGAACGTCAAAGCCAGAATTGTCACAGTAAACAAGAACCAGTTTCAAGTGTGGTCACTCCCACAAACACAGCAGTCAATCAAGCAAGCAGGATCCATCACAACCCATACCAGACTTCCACAGACCATGTGACGGAGGACCTGAAACCGCAATAGATCCCATTATGCACTTTTAGGGAGCTTTTAAGGACCTTGATACATAAGGCATAGTCATTCCACATTAAATTTTCTGGACGTCAGAAAGAAAGATAACCAGACCTTAGCCCAGGTATATGGGACTGAACTTCTTCCCCTGTAGTGGAGGATAAGATAAAATAGACATCGTATGAGGTCATATAAATTCATTTCACAGAAATGTGAAAGAAAGAGCGAAAATGGAACATAGAGTATAATGGAGTATAACTAACGTACTGGGAGCTATCAGCCTCGCTTGTATGTCAGTTTGTTAAAAAACATCTGCTAAATAAAGGGTTCGGTGCCAATGCGGGGCATAGTGTCTCATGGGGTCTGCCTCATTATGCCAGGCAGATACACATCCATCAACATCACCACCGGCAACAGAAGTACTTACTGGGATCTTATAACCCTCATAAGCTGGAGAACACACTCCCAGGATCTCACTGGTGCCTTCTGATAGTTGGGAAAGTAATTAACTTGTGGCGACGTATCTAATAGCTACAAATTTTCTTTTGAAACGGACTGTACTCCTCTGCCTAAAACACAAGGGACAGGTGTGTAGCTCAGTAGGTTAGGCCTGTGATGACCGGAAGGTCGCCGGTTCGAATCCTGTGCTTAGCTGAAAAGCCACATCTTCACTGGGCTCTTGAGTGAAGTGCTCAGCCCCCTAAAAAATGATGCACACACGACTAACTCTGCAGCCAGACCCAGGTTTGCTCTCACCTCTACATATGCATGTTTTAAAAAGGAGTGCAGTCACTAACACACCTGTTCTCATACTAATACGAAAGGCATATAAACGAGGTGCTTGGGGAAAATAGTTGGTTCGAGCATTATTATTGGATTCCTTTGAAACATCTCAAAGACGTGAATCCATAGATCACTATTTACTTTAGATAAAGGACACTGGTGTTTGCAGAGATTTTAATACCATTTTGTTTCGAGTTCAGAGGATGTCAGCTGGGGGTGGCGCAGTGGTTAGCACAGTTGTCTTCCACCTCTGGGACCTGGGTAACAGTCCCCACCATGGCTCCATGTGTGTGGAGTTTGCATGTTCTCCCCGTGATGTCATGGGGCTTCCTCCGGATACTCCGCGTTTGGAGTTACCAAATTGATTCTAGGTGCGAATGACGTGCTCTGTGACGGGTTGGCCCCCCACTGCCTTGCAGCCATAGGCTCTGGCCCCCCTGTGACCCCGAACAAGACAAGCAGTTACAGAAAAAAGATGGATGTCAGCTGACTTCTTGACATCAGTTTGCTGGATTACCGTCCAGTGCATTTATGTATTTTACAGCGGAAACGCATTTCCGGGGATAAGTCGGACCAACGAGATTTCCGTATTGAAAAGCCTGTGTGGAGGTAGAGATTTCACTGCATCTTCAAACTGCTGACAGGAGGCAGAACAGCTGGCTGTGAGTCATCTGTTGTCTTATAAATACACGCTCTTATCTTAACAGCAGCCAGAATGTTTAGAGAGCAAAATATGTTTAAGCTGATTTCATTTATTCGACTCGTGTGAGCCAGAACACAGCTAATTCCAACAGCGAGAAATGCTCCCAGATCAGATATGCGCTGGTACGTCTAGCGGAGGTGAACGGCCGATGCCACATCTTTAAGCACTTATGTGTGAATGGACCAGATGCACAGGTTTATTCTGCTCCTTGTAATGGGCAGTGCCAGGGCTTGGCGCAGGAATCAGCATACAGTCACTGCAGCATAACCCCAGGCTGGGGCATACCATTCTCATACATAGGGTGGATTCAGCTAGTCTCTAGGGCTTGCTATTGTAGAGAAATTGTAGAGTCCCCCCCCCCCCCCACATGAAAACACCAAGAAATCCACACTCTAGCTTGTCCAGACATCTGAATTACAAAGATAACCTTGTTTCCCCCCCCCCAAAACAACACAAATACCATGCTGTATTCAAGCATGCCCCCGTTATATGACTTCACAATGATAAGTGATTAAAACAAAATATTGCGGACATTTAAGAAACCCTACTTCATATTTATACAGCACTTCATCCAAACAGGGTTTAATGTCATGGTTTGTTTTGATTGGACATGCTATTTTACGTTTAGTTAAATACGGTTGTTTCTTAATATACGCATGCAGGGCTTGGACTAGTTTCTCATCTTAAAAGTATATCCATTGCCCTGGATACCCTGCTGTTGGTTAACTCTGTGCCTGACCAGTGTATACGTATCTGAATGTTATTAAGATAGAATAATGGATGTCAAACTGCTTACAAGCCTACATGGAGTAAATACAGTATACTCCAGCAGCATTTCAAATGGACAAATTCTTTGATTAAATGCAGCATATTCACTCACATGGTTACAAATCCTTCCCCAACATTAATTCTACCTTGTACCTTGAAAGCGAGATTGATACATAAAGACTCTTTTTCTAATTTTTTGTACGTTTCTTCAAAATTATGGGCTAGGGCTTGGATAGTACTGAAAGTTAGAAATCAAATTATTATCCATGTTCATACGTAACAAATTGGCAAAAAGGTTCTAGGGACATGTACAATTAAACTTGAATTGTTGAATGTGAATATCAGTCTTTTTCCTGATAATTTGTTGAGCTTCACAATGATTATTCTTTTTCCATAAAAAATAAACACCACAGTGTATTGTCTCTAAATGACACAGGTTACTTTCAACACTGCGTCGATAGTAAACATTGCCGTGGAATTAAGGGGTCACGGTTCTGTGGCTATTTCCTCTCGGGATACCCAATCGATCGGCTGAGCGTGGCACACAGCCGCCAACACGAGTGACTGGTGAGAACCAGTCCTCTTCTGGGTATCTGCTAGCTGCTCACCCGACACCTAGTAAGGGTCTCGTGGGAGGAAAGGGTAGGGGGTACGCGGCTGTCGGGAGTGGGAGAAGGAATCTGGACTGTGTCCGTCACATGCCGAAGGTTTGGGAGAGGGAGAGAGAGAGAGAAGGAGAGAGAGGGATAGAGAGAGAGAGAGAGAGAGAGAGAGAGAGGGAAGCCTGGGGCAGCTGCATGAAAGAAGCATTGTGCTGGTCTGGCTCAGACAGTCTGAGCAGTGATGTAATTCTGTACAGCACCACTGAAAGTCTGCATTTGTCATCCCAAATGCAGGCCTCAGATATCCGGGGCCGCAGCTAGGGGCCTGCCCTGCCGGCACATTTCGGTGCATATCTGGTGCACAACCGCGGCGTTAGGCCGGCATTGAGCAGACGAAAGAAATACCTACGGCTGTGAGGGCCTAACAAAGCGGCCCTTGTGGAAAAAGATTTGTCTAGGATCACAGACACCGAGGGTCGGGAGATCTTGGCCAGTAAGCCCCACGAAAAAGCAATAGGGGGCGCCGCTGTGCAGCTACGGGCGACCAAGGCATAGCAGGTAATAGCAGCCTGGACCTTGTTGCAGCGCGGGGGACAGGAGCGAAAAAGCAGCCAGTCTGCTGATTTAACTATGTGTGGAACCCACCGTGTTGTGAGACAGCTGCATATTAATATGATATTGACTACCAAAAATACTCAGCTAACAACCATGCATTTGTGTGGGACCACAAATAGTCACTACACTAGGGGGGGCAGGGGCCCTGAAGTGACTTTTCAAGGTGGGCCCCAGAAACTCCCGTGTATGAACACATCACGACACACAACGTCAGATGGAAACAGAAATCCGTTGCCCTGGATACCTATAATCTTGGTTAACTCTTCACCAGACCAGAGCAAACGAAGGGTCTTAATTTGGTGGCCTCACCATCATCCATGACGGAGTACCAGCGGAGGGAGGGGCGGCTGAACGCCTGGCACTGAGCGTCCCGGAAGTCGGGCGTCCTCGTCGCACAGGGCAGGTCCTCGCAGAGCTTGTACTGTACCTTCAGACCAGGGCAGTCCCAGACTTTCCTAGCAGCTCTGCATGAAGGCAAATGAAGGCTCTTTATCTCACATCGGAAAGTACAAACACAATGACATCACTAATTCAGTCTAAAATCGACGTGCAAGAGCTAAACCCTTATTTTTCCAGTTTTTACCATGGAAACAACAAATATGAGATGGGAATTTTGAAAAATAACACATTTTACTGAACCTGTTCTCATACTTGTACAAACGACGAATAAAGCATGAAATTTCTGCATTTATATTACGGTAATATATAGGGTTAGGCCAAAAACAGGTATACAATTTTGTGTGTCAGAGACAGGCTCCAGGAATGTACCAATGCTGACAAAGGGCATTTCAAACATCTAAGAAACTAAACAGGACCCAATCAGTACTGTAAAATAAAAACTGCATACCTACTTTTAAAAATAACTTTGTAAAAATAAAAACTTTCTTTGTAAAATAAAAACTTTCTTTGTAAAATAAAAACTTTCTTTTATAAAATAAAAACTGCATACATACTTTTGGCCCACCCTGCATATTAATTGTGTATATTATGTTAAAAATAGGAGCTGAGTCTAGCTATCTTCCCATCAACTATGGCCTGTTGCCATGTTAAATCCACTTCTGAAATCACAGATGACTTTTTCATGGTCAGTGTGCGTCGTGAGTGCAGGGACACTGCAGAGATAATGTGGCGTAGTCACAGTACCTGGGGCTCTGGCAGTCACGTTGTCGGGCCCGGACCCCCATGCCACAGGTTCGACTGCAGGGGCCCCAGGATCCCCAAGTGCTCCACTGGCCCAGCATCTGCTCTGGTGGGACTACCCAGCTGACACATTCGCCAGCCCGGCACCACTGCGAGAGAGTGGCGGTAATGCTAAGAGTGCAGTGTCCACTGTGAGAGAGCGGCGGTAATGCTAAGAGTCAGTGTCCACTGTGAGAGAGTGGCGGTAATGCTAAGAGTGCAGTATCCATCGCGACAGAGTAGCGGTAATGCTAAGAGTGCAGTGTCCACCGTGAGAGAGCGGCGGTAATGCTAAGAGTGCAGTGTCCATCGCGACAGAGCGTCGGTAATGCTAAGAGTGCAGTATCCATCGCGACAGAGTGTCGGTAATGCTAAGAGTGCAGTGTCCATCGCGACAGAGTAGCGGTAATGCTAAGAGTGCAGTATCCATCGCGACAGAGTGTCGGTAATGCTAAGAGTGCAGTATCCATCGCGACAGAGCTGCGTTAGTGCTAAGAGTGCAGTGTCCACTGCGACAGAGCACCAGGCAGCGCATTAGTGGCACCACCATGTACCAGGTGGGGAATGGCACTGAGGACACCACAGCGACCCAGGGAGAACCTGGATTCCGCTGTGGTGACATCAACAAAAAAAAATAGTAAAGACATTTTTGCCCTCATGCGTGTTTACACGTGCGCTGGCTTGGCGCGTTGAAATGTTAACTTGATGAGAGCCCTGTGGAGCATCAACGTTACTCGAATGCACATGCTCACAGCTGTTACCAAAACAATGGCCCGGTGTACAGTTTGACAGACTCATCCCTTAGTTACAGCATACGGCGTGCCGGACAAGCTAGGGAACACAAAGCGTATAAGTCAAATTCCGAACAGACCACCAGTGCTTCAGAAAAAGGGTGAAAACAACAAATCATGTTGACATTTAAATGACGGTTTATTCATTGTGTGTCATGAGGGCAACATTGTGCAATGAAATAAAACAAATATTTTGCCAACAATCGTTAGCCAGCTAGCTGTTAGCTGTTGTTGCTAAACAGCTATTGTGACGCATGAATTCATGACTGGCTAAAACTTTCAGTTTTCCTAAATTAAATTATGTATAAAACTAGGCCTGACATGCTGCTTCATATATGTATATATGTAACATTGGTGGATCTGGATGTAAACAGTTTATAGTTATAAAGTAAGCCTGTTCTGTGTGAGAAGGGGAGAGAGTAGGATCAATTACACAGTTCTGCTGACTTAACACTTAAGTTAGAGACGAAAAGGTCAAATACTGTTGATTTTTCTAATCTCTCACATTGTGATAAATAATTCCAAAGATCATAAATTTTTCCCACAAACACATACAGTACATGTATATATCAAAACAGCAGGAGCTTGAGTGACTCAAATTCTAGAGCTTTAATAATAGTCGCTGCATCATATTTATCGCTTTCTATATTTATATAGTCACAGTTTTTCATTTTTCATTCCATCTACCAATAAACTGTGAAAGGGATTTTATTGTTGCTACTTTTCTTGCGTTTCAAACTGCCTTTCCAAAGTGATGGGTGTGGGGTGCAGTGACATTCCAGACTGATGGGCCATTGACAGTATGCAAACTACTACAGGTGTGAGGACACCTATCTCATCAATATTCATTGTGAAGACCACTGACTTTGAGAAAAAGAGTGTCACTCTAAAGTGCTAACACTTTAGTAATCAAACCACATAAAATTTCAGAATGTCACTTTCACCTATGTGTAGCCAACCCCTGTGTCTATATTAAATGTCTATAATGTGATTTTTTACAATTTCTCAGCATGTCTGGAAATAGGTTTTTGAAAAGTATATGTTTAAAGTTGATTTTAACAAAAAATAGAATAATAACATTCTAAGAGGTCTCAGATTATTGGTGCTGAGTTTGTGCTGAATAAAAGCAAATGTGACACTTTGGGATAAATGTTTTTTAGATAGGTGAAATATTTTGAAATGTCAAGGCATGTCAGACTACCCCGAAAGTGGAAAAGAAGCCTCAGACCCCAGGGGGGTTTGAAACAATCTAGACAGTGCAAGTTACATCAGTGCTAATGGTAACATTTTGGACAAATCATTATTTCCCACAAAGGCATAATTGTTGCTGTATAGAGGTAAAGAAAACATTTTTCTTTGTTCTTTTTATAGACAACCTGCCTCTTAGAATATTGGTATTATATATTTTTAGTTCTCATTGTCATTTCACTGTCCTCGACTGAGCTCTAGCTTAAACAAAGTTCATTCAGGCCCATGTCGTACAGCACTGGGATTTACGCAAGTCGTAAATGTGGCCTCTTTGAAGCGGGACTGCGTCGTGTTAATTGTCAGAGCCTGTACTATAAGTGACTCCAGCCCTCTTACTGAAATGTAACTGTTGGCTCAGACCCGTCTCTGGAGCCGAAACAGGCTGCCTCTCCTCCCAGTGTTTATAATATCTCTAAGACGATGTTACTCTTTAAACCCGAGAGCTCTCTCTCTTTCGGAAAACCTGATTTCACATAAAAGTAATATGCAGAGCTCTTTGGCCTGGCTCAAGTGGCATGATACATTCTTTTTAAGAGAGCTTTTTATTGCTTCAAGTTTAAAAAAATCATCACAAAAGATCTGCCTGACAAAAAAAATGATACTGTTAATCAGTATATTGCAGGGAACATTCAAAGAAATTCAATAATGGTGTATGTTATTTTTATTTACAGTGGGGCGAATCCACATCAAATAAAGGTTGCTTCCTCCTTTTAACATGACTGGAATTGCGGCCAGCAGTTGGCAGTTACGCTTAATTCCATCCATTTTCCATAACCGCGTATCCAATGCAGAGTCACGGTGCGCCTGGAACCTATCCCACAATGCAAAGGGCAGCCTGTCTGGGATGCCAGACCATGGTGAGGCGCACACCACACCACAGACAATCCAGAGACACCACAGCACACAAACCACATGTTTCTGGACTGCTGGGTAAAAGCAGAGCCAAGGCAGGATCGGAACCCAGAACCCCGGAGGTGCGAGACCACCGTACCACCCAGAAAGCCACCCTATATACCACACAATCAGCATTCTGACATTCATATGGCTGACATTCATGTGGCTAAGGATTAGCTAAAAAATGACGGCGCGCTACATCTTTTCATATAGGGTTATTCTTTTTTTTATTTAAAAACTGACAGTTAACATGGCGACTCAGTGGGTAGGACTGCAGCCTCTCACTGCCAGGGCTGTGAGCTCGATTCTCACTCCTGGCTTTGCATCTCCCTCTGTTTAAGTGGCTTTCTGTGGGTATTCTGGCGCACAATCAGGTGGTTTCCTGTCTCTGAAATGTGAGTGAGTGCCCTGCAATCGACGGGCATCTCATCGTGACCCCGCACTGGATAAACAGAAATGGACGATGCGTGGAGATGAACAGAAAGATATCCAAGGTCTCTCTGTATCAATCACAAGGCAGTGGGCATGAATGCATAAACTCTGATCAACTGTTAGTTTGATCAACTGAAGTCCTTGCTTATATGATATCATATCTCATATCAAACGAAGCATCGATCCCATCAGGAACAATCCCTTGGTTATGGCCGCCTGGCTGCACTGTATGCACTTGCATTTTTGCAGTTAGGAAACTAGCGCTTGCAGTGCTATGTATGAACACGTTTTTTTTGTAAGGTACTGTACCGCTCCCACCTCTAATGTGGACTAGCTGTCGTTCACTCAATGGAAGGTCAGCAGAGTCACACTTATACCTTCTTGGCTCCTTGACAGCTGCATGCTTGTTATTGTCGTATGTTGCTTTGGAGCAGCTGCTAATTAAATAAATGTAAATGCATACAGCATACGAGCATCTGCTGCTCATTTAAGCCCCCCGCTGTCCCCATTGTCACATTCACTGATAACAGCGACACTGCCAAAACAGTCATATCCATGGCACATGTGCTTTATAGCTCTGTCACTGCTCTTCATCAACCACTGCATATTTTCTAGTTTTGTATTGTCTTGCATCGTTTTGTGCTGTCCATAATTGTTTTGAACCGTCTTGCATCGTTTTGTGCTGTCCATAATTGTTTTGAACCGTCTTGCATTGTTTTGTACTGTTTTGTATTGTTCTGCACTATCTTGCATGGTTTCGCATTGTCTTGTATCACTTTGCATTGTCTTGCATCGTTGTACACTGTCTCCTGTTGTTTTACACAGTCTTACATTGTTTCACACTGTCTTGTAATGTTCCGCAGTATCTGTATGTTGAGTATGGTTACGTCTCTTTGTAACTGGATGTGGCTGAACGACCAAGCATTGCAATGCACCTGTTGCGCATGGCGAGCAAAGATCTTGAATCTTGAGTCTGATGTACAGACACGCAGGTCTGCATACGTAACCGATAAGCCCCGATCTTCCAATCTGCAAGCCGCCATTACACACCCTGTCCAGCTAGCCCCGGAGTGACGGCTTACCTTTCCCATGTCACACTCGGTGCCGTCCATGGGTGGATCCAGCTTGGTTTTGCAGTCCTTCTCCCCGTCGACATGGCACCAAAGACCAGAGCACATCACATGCTGAGAGCAAGAAAGGGAGCTGCTGAATTTTCATGGACATGATGGGGACAAGCCAGATGCATGTGGATGCTGGTAATCTCCTTATAATTAGCAAACTTCCATACACTGTATTTCACTGTGAGTTGCTTTCATGTTGCGTTCATTATCATGTTTTAACTAATTGAACTCATCTGCACTGGACCTAAGCTCTTTGCACATTACATCCATCTATTTATTTATTCATTTATTTTGTCCACATGCTTGACTCAGCATTGCACATCCCCTGTAAAAAAAAGAAGAAAAACTTCTTGTATCTTTACTTTTAGATGTTTATTTGTATGTGTGCTTTGTTTATGTGTGTTTTGTTTATGTCATGATACCACCCGCACCAAAAGAAATTAGAAATTACTTGTACTTCTCTGTCCTTGGCGAATAAAAAAGATTCTAATTCTGATTTTGTACATTTCATAAATGAGATAAGATACAATCGTACCTATTGCACAGCCTTAGTCAGAAGCTGCACTGTCTTCGTTTCGATTTATGCCAACATATTTTAAAATGACAATAAAATTTGACTAGACTTGACTACAATGCAGGAACCCCAGACCCCTGGGCAGGATAAGTGGATAGAAGAAGGAAGGATTGATGGACAAGACAGGAAACTTTACAACCAAGCACAGACACATCTTACAGACTGGGAATAAGCCCGCAGTAAATTTTGACATTTGCCCCGTTTTGCTTTTTTTCCACTTGCATTTCTGCTGTTCTCTGTCTCACAGCCAATCGGAGGCCTTTACGGGACCCAAGGTGGCTGCCGATTACTCGCCCATCTCTTTCCGATCACCGTGTTCACAGCTCTGCTTGCTCTCATCTGCTCGTTTCTCCTTTGATCTACCTCCATGCTCCCTTTCATCCGGTGAGATCACCCTTTACTTGCGGAATATCAGATTCGGCCCATTTTGCCTCCGAATCCGGATCCAAAACGCTCCGCTTCAGCTCCCCGGCGAAGGAATTAACGGTTAGCGTTAGAGCCGTGTTCTGGTTACATTGCGCTCTCCTGAACACGCGGTTTTGTAATCATGGCATTTACATGCCCCTGACTCCAGAGCTCAAACTCAAATTACATTTAATGCTTTATTTTTTCTCTCCCATCTTTTATTATAAATGTACTATTGAAATTGCTCTTAATCTTAATCTTATCTTTTATGTACTCTAAACTACCTGTATATACAATTTTTAATTATTCCCTTTAAAAATGTATTGTTCCATTATAAATACCAATTAAAATGTAATACACAGACCATTTGTTCAGTTGTGCCTTTAGCACAGAGTGAAGCGATAATATAAAATATATAATAATATAATAATAATAAGGGCATCACTAGAGGGGTGAGTGTTTAAAGTAAGAAAAGCTGCAGTAGAAACTGAAAAATGCAAAGGTTTTTCTGGAAGTTGTAACTGGAAAACAAAGTTTCCATCATCAGAAGCTCAGCAGTTCCACAAGATAAATACTTTGTTAAATATCCAGCTGATAAAATGAATACAATAAAAATCAATCTGTAAAAAAAAAACAGGATAGCAGCAAATGTGTAATTCTGCATGTCAAATAGTTTATAACGTTATTTTGCCTGCAGATTATGTCAGTTTTTACTCATTCTGAAGTCTTGGTCTCGATTTTCCTAGATAGCCATGACCCAGACATGAATGAGAACAGCTGCCATTCTGTGCTGTGATAAGGCTAAGCTTCAGCATCACCGCCGGCCACTAACGAGCTACAGATGAGCCGGCTGCCTTTCTAAGTGCCGTAACCTATGTGTTGCACTATTACTTTTGCGCAGAAAGGATAAACATCGGGAAAAGACACAAACCGTCAGACAGTCGTGGTACGTTACAGGACACAGGACGTTGGAAGTTCAAAGGCAACTTTCAGACAGTAAAGCAGAGCATATGTGATGAGACCCAATGGGACAGAATTACAGTACCAGATTCGGCATTGTACAACTGCATCTGAAACAGAACCATCTTTAGAGCCAGCTGATAAATCGGGCCCAGTTACCCTGGGGCCCCCTACGTGTGATTGATTACTGGGGCCCCCTACGTGTGGATCGGTCCCTGGAATTCTGCTGGAGGGGGCGGGTGATCTTATTATTATCTTAGCTTACTTTTTTTTTTTCAACGTTTAAAACATCATCTGGGGAATGTCGTCCATCAAACAGAGAACTCATAAAGCACAGCGTCTTAGTGCCCAGGCCGTACCCTCAGGGTATGCCAAACACCATAGGTATTTTCTGCCGTCATTGTTTTATGAACACCTTGCAGGACGTCCGACAATAAAATTAAGACTGTTTGTGGGGAAAACACAGCAGGTTGCCATGGTACCTGATAAGCAAATATAATTAACTGCTTGCTTTTACGAGGTACAGCGGCCCGGGAAACAGCCCCGCCGTTGCCGACCGTCCTCATCGCTGTGGGGGCACAGGAAGACGTGTTTAAGGGACTGAGTCTGTGCTGGAGTTTAAACACTCAGTCAGGACGTGTTTCTTCACTGAATTATCGCCTGTGCAGCTTGCGAGGTGAGACATTCCTGTTGATACCATATAAACTTACAGATAGGCATCTTCCATTTAATTCCATTCAAGGAGATGCACGTAAAAGCTGACATGCACAAAAATGCACAGACACACTGGCGCTAATGTGACCCAGTAAATAATTCCAGCCATTTAGGAAATCAGATAACGGTTTTGACATCGCCAGCCAACAGACATCTATATTAAATGATATTGGAGCTGTTACTTTCTGCTATTCCTGGAAAAATCTTAACTCCTGGATGATAAGATATAGGAAAGGCAGGCTGTGGTATTATGGGCCTCCTGTGGTGATTTAGGTGCCTCTTCCAAAATGATCATTTCAGGATTTCTGCTTTCTTTAGACAGGATCCTTTTAGTCTCATTTCCTCGCCATTCCTGAACCCTCCCTGAAACGGGGATCTACCAAATCTCTACCAGCTTCCTGTGTTTTCTGGTTCAGTACATATTTCAGTCAGGCTTTCCTGAACATGCCTTTCTTGTGGGCCAAACCACACACAATGCAACCTAAAAGGCACAAATAAGCAATGGGTGTTTAGGCAAAACCAGCTGTGATTCAGGGGTGTATCTGCAAGATTTGATTATTTCAAGGTTTAGAGTGAATTATCTTTTTCAATACATTAGAGCATTTAACTATCCCCAAATGGGATGCTGACTGCATAAATTATCAGCAAAATCCAATTTAACTAAAACTGTACCAAGCCTATACATTGCAATGACTTGGAAGGATCTTTACAAAAAAATGAAGGTCTATTATTGAATTATCTTTAAGAATAATGTGCTTATTGTTTTAGATGAGCGAATAATTCAAGCCTTTCAGCTGCAGAAAAGTAAATTTATTCTAATACTTCCAATGACCCCCACACTGCACCTTCTGTGGTCTCCACAAGTGGGGATTCCTGCAGGTTCTTACTACCTCCAGACTGGAATGTGCTGCCATTGGCCTATGACAAATACAGTGTCCTTTGTATTGAATATCCCTCCTTCATTTTCTGGAAATGCAAAGATATTTCTCTACACTGTAAATAGCAGCTTCCCCCATTTATAGACACATTGTTCTTACAGGTGCAGCTCAGGTTAAAAATCCCATCTAAGTGCCCTTCCCAGAAGCACAGACCATCAGGTTCTGAGTCCACGTCCCTGTCTGGAACACCACCTGACCCAAAACTGCTCCTTCACCCACCTGCATTTTTTGGCAGTGGGACGCCACCGGCCCAAAGAGGATCTGACACTGCTCATCAGCTGTGTAGGGCATTCCTGGGAGCCTGGACGGCAAGATGACTGAATTCAGGCTCAGGGGGTCAGTCTGCAGGAGACAGCTGCTGGATTTAGACCTGAGGAGAGAATAAAGACCAAAGCATGGACTCACCCCCATATCCAAAAACACCATCTACTCCACAAAACAGAACCATAAACAGAGACATTTCTTTCTTAGCCATTTCTTCACATATATTCCTCTTTATGTATATATTATTTTGTTAAAGCAAAACATTTTTTAATCATTTAAAATTTTTACCAGGTTTATCATTAAAGTTTTTGGTTACGCTTTACTTTTGAGGTCATAAATAACATACTATATGCTTTCAATTAACAATAATGTATTAATTAACCACAAACTAGACCTTATTTTAAACCATAGTAAGAATGTAGCAGCAAGTAGGTGAGCTTCATATGTAGTTACCCATTACTTAATAGTGTACATAATCATTATCTACCTATTTGATACTTGTAATTATAATGCTAATGAACCAATAAGTAAAAAAAATGGAGACTAATCACTACTTATCTAGAGCTACATTTATCTACATTTAATCCTTAAGTAATCTAAAAAAGTATATAAATAGAACTAATAGATAAGTAGTCTCTTAACTGTAACCAATCACTGGCCATTTTGAACACTCGGACCCCTTATAAGAAGAGCAAAACAGGACAGATGTACCTCAAAAACTTCTCCACGTCTTCCCGGCTGCAGCGGGACCAGGAGACGTCGTGCAGGTTCTGCCCTTTGATCCACTCGCCTGACATGATGTGCAGACCGTCGGCGCAGGACGGGTGGTCGTTGTCGTGGCTCACGCCCATGCTGCTCTCGGAAGCGACGGCGAGACGTGGCGTTTGGCCCAAAGAAAGAAAACCTCACGGGTTAGCGGCGTTAGCATGAAGACACACGGCAGGCTAAATGAAGAGCGACAAATCAGGAGTATCCTGGCAAACCACAAATAAAAACAGTACGAATTCCACTGTCAGGCGGTCGTACGTCCTTAACTGATATGTCCAGTACAAGCACCAAGGCCAGGCTACAAACAGAATCCAGCAGCGAAAATCCCTGTGCGTCAGTCTGATCTAATCACTGTCTTCCATGGTCGAACGGGTCTCATGTGAGTGAAATTTGTCCCATTTCGTTAGTTTTGATTCAAGCTGGATCTGGTTGGTAGAAACAGCACCAAACGCCTGGTTTTGTTATTTCAATAGTATGACTCTTAGGTATTTCTGATGCCTTCTGAGGCTCATTTGGGCAAAAAAAAATTAAAATACAGCTAAAACTACGGTTTATATTCAGCACTACAGGAACACAGCTAATTAAAATTAGCCTCATCAGTTTGTACTTTAACGAGAATTGTGACACCCCTGGTCGACATTGGGCTTCCTGTATCTTTCGGGCAAATCTCAGCTATCTTCAGCATTCACCATTTTTCATATATCACTCACTGTCCTTTTCTCGTACTGTTTGTAGAGCAATTCCATTCATACATCACTAAAGTCATGCCACATGATATTGTTCCTGGCACCCTGATTTGCTGGCCCCTTAAGAACAAATGCACATCGATTTACCGATCCCTTACAGGGGTGGTAGCTCAGAGCTTATTAATGTTCCCTCACACCCCTCTATCCCCCCCCCCCCCCCCC